AAAAAAAAAAAAAAAAAAAAAATTGACCAACCTGAATTTTAGGCATTTTTGGGTTTGTAACTTAATCTTTTATTTTTTATAAATTGCAACCTTAACTATACGTAATTGGTAAATATCAACTTCGGCCACCGAATCGGTGGAGCTTAAGGGTAAAATTGTGATCTTATCTCATATCATACTATTAAAATATCATTCCTCCCCAATTTCTTCAATCTCATATTCCGATTTTCCCAATTTCGCGATTTCCCCAATTTCACCTAACCCTAGACATTTGATTCTTCAACGAAAAGGTTTGGAAAATCCGTGAGCAACGCACGACTATTGCAACTAATATATTCTTCCCAGATTACAATAAATTTGATGCATTTAATTTATTACACAATGTTAGCACTTTCTAGAAAATACCATATTTAAACTGAAAATCAGGTTTTCAATATTGAAGAACATACCTGGTATTTTGCACACGAAACATATCTTCTTCTAAGATTAAGGTCAGTCCACGACGTCCTCGTGACTACATTTTTTCTGCAACGACAAAATCTTTCCATGATATGCTCAGCTGTTTGCCTCCACTCCATTTGCTCAAATAAAGGTTAGGGTTCTTATGAAAATAATTGGGGAAAAAATTGGATAAGTGGATTGAAGAAATTGGAAGAATGATATATTTATATAATAATATATAAAATAAGTTTACAAGTACACCCTTACAAAAGTTGTCAGCTCTGCCGCTTAAGGAGTTTTTCGGCCAATTAATTTCGGTGGTCGAGGATGACATTTATTAATTAAGTATAGTTGAGGTTGTAATTTATCAAAATAAAAGATTAGGTTGTAAACTCAAAAAGGCCATAAAGTTTAGGTTGGTCAAAATTTATATATATATATATATAAGATTTACCATTTTTAAAAAATAGCAGGTCAACTCTTTGGTCAAATTCAGACATCATTTATTAGTTTCCATTAATGGCAATATTTTCTTTTTTTTTTTTAATTTCTTTGGTAAAAAAAATAGAATTTTTTGGATAGGATTTAAAGAAACAAATAATCCTTAATATGAAGGGATTTATTATTCAAAATACACCTTCCCTCTCCAACCATATAATCCGCATTCAACCATATATCCCGCAATAAACTAATTTTGTTGCATATGCAAGAAAATTAATGATTTGTTTGAATTTCGTGCCAAATTTTAATTTGATATTGGTCAAATGCTAGCATATATACATATATAAGTAAATTTACGTGCAATCTTTTGAAAATAAATATATACTGTAATTATTGAACTATTCTACTTTTTTCTTTTCCCTTTTGTTATTAACATTGTTATTGGTTCAAACCTACACATATTTTGATTCATTTATTCTGTATATAGTCTGTAAGCCTTCTTAATTTATTATTGCTTCCATTTTTTTTAATCAAACCCAAGTTATTGACAGTATATAGAATATGTGCACAAAGAACTTCTCCTAATAAAGTCAAAGCCATATCCATATATTCATATGATATCACCAAATATACATATCGATTTTAAATTATTAATAAAAGAAATACTTTGAAAACAAATTATAATATAACCATCTAACCACATACACATACCCAGTTTTAGTTAAAATTGTACTAGATTTCTTTACAATAATTCGTATTAGATTTTTTGATATAAAAATTTGGTAGTAAATATGGAATATATACGCTTAGATTTTCGCCCAAAAAATACAATAAAATTTGACATTCTTATCACTTAGAAACAATAAAATTATAAATTCTTATCACATACCCGAACCTTTATTTTTTTCAAGCCGAATTGAAAATCCGAGTTTTTTTACCATGTCGAGATCGTCGTTTGAATTTAGGGGTTGAACTTATTTCGGAAATCCGACGTTAGTCGTTGTTTGTGTTTTTGTCGTTATTTTCGTGTGTTTTGTGTGCTTTATTTTATAGTTTTTAGGCTCGTTTTAGTATCGACCGGTCCATTTTATCATGTTTCGTGCATTTTTATTCTCGTATTGTGTTTTTGTGGTTCAGCGTACTTTTCTTGTCTTTTTGGTGTTGTTTAGGTCCACATTATTCAATCTTGGGAAGACGAGCCATTTCCGAGACATTTTCGAGTCGTCTGAACCATGTTGGAGCCACACGAGCCATTTTCGAGTCATTCCGAGCATTCATATTAATTTCGTGGTGATATCGATTTGCGCATCTCAAGATGAGGAGAACGAGATTTGGGAAGCGTGGGTCAAAGTTTCAAGTCAATCGGAGGAGCGTGCGAGAAGTTAGAGCGATTCGAGCTTCAAGGGGACACCGAGACCAAGCCATACCGGGACGAAAAGAATTAAATGATGAGAATGTTGGTCCAAATTTCGTGTGAATCGGAGTTGTGTGCGAAAAGTTAGAGCTAAACGAAGTCGCACATGCCCGCACGCCACCTGCTGCCCGCGAGCTCGCGAATTTCATGGAGACCTCGAAGTGTTTTACTTAATGTGCGTGTTTTTAGTGTGTTTTTGTGGTGTAGCTATATAAAGACATTATGCTTTGTATTTTTGGAGACAACCCTCATTTCCCAACTTTTAAGTTGGGAATTCCTCTCTATTTTCTCTTTTTCCTTTTTATGCTTTGGTTTGGAGCTTATGAATCAAGTTTTCCAGCGAATTTCCGGCGATATTGTTCTGAGTAAAGTTTCGAGCTTTTGACTCCAGTTTTCTTCCCAAGTGCGTGTGAGAGTGGGTACTTAGTCTTAAGCCCCATTACTTCGTATATCGTTATTTGTTTTTTGTGAAAATTGATATTGTGTTTGTGTTGCTTGGAGGAAAAGATTGAATCTTTAGATCGTGAATGCTTGACTAAGTGTGATTAGGAATTGAATGCTTGCTCGTCTTGTGCTAGAGTTGGGTTTAGCTTCCTAGGGTTTTAGCTAGCATGACAATGTCCGGTTATTTGCGTGTGAGTGATCATGGAGACTCCGGCAAACCAAAATCTCTCTTTTCCCCTTGATTTCTCTCATCTTCTTGCGTGCTTAGTTAATTGCCTTCAATTGCTCTCATTTCGTAGATTAATCTAGTTTAAATTCAAACCCTCAAATTGCGAGTAAAATGTTTAGGACCTTTTCGGTTGTGTGACTTTGACGACTAGATAGTGAAGAAGCTCTGAAGAGCCTTCCTTTGAGAACGACCCGAGTCGGGTAACTCGGTTACCACATGCCCAAAAATACTACAAACAGTCGTGCCTTGAGTTGTTGTTTCATTTACCGAGCCAAATCCCCGTTTTTTTTTTTTTTTTGGTCAATTCCTTAGCCCCTGAAAATTATATTTTTCGTAAATTATGTCGAGTTTTGAATCCCGGTTGCTGAGGAGTTGAACATCGTCAAAACAACCATCGGCACTGAAATCTCGAATGATATATAGAGCAAGCTCCTTGCTTGCGGAAATTTATGATTTGGCAATGCATTTATCCTGAAGATTTAATTGAGAAAATCACATTTTTCTAATTGTTGTGCACATGTCCAATAAACTAAATTTAGCGTTAGTATTTTATATGTATTTTTTACATTTGTATTGCATGTGTCAAAATCTAAGTGCATATTTATCATCACATTCTATGAGCTTATGTCCGATTATGACTAACATGATATATTTGA